TTGCAGAAAGCCTGAACTGGATCCCTAGCACTGAAGAAAACTCCCCTTGGGAAAACAGTAATAATGAACATTTAAAAGAGAATGGCCACATAGCTTTACTTGTTTGTTTCTGTCTGTCTTTCTTCTTTTGATTGTTTAAGACAAGGTTTATCTGTGTACCAGCCCTGGAAGTCCTGGAACCCGATTTCTAAAGCAGGCCTCAAATTCACGGAGATCCAACTACTTCTGCCACCTGAGTGATGAGACTAAAGGCGTGAGCCAACACACAAGGTGCTGCACACCCAGCTTTTCAATCCATACATCGGTAGGCTACTGCTTTGGCTCCACACACATTTCTTGGGAAAACATGCATAATTTACACTGTCTTATGGCTGCCCTCTTACATGTGATTCATTCTTTAAACCTTTCTTGACTGTACACATATATGGTAGAGATACATCTAAAAGACAGAAAGCTGGAGTTGGTCATTAACATGGCTAGCTTTCTTTGGAACAACAAACTAATGAGAGTACTGTTCTTTTGTATGGCTGGGTTCTCTTATAGAGATTGGGTTCTTATAGGGATTGCGATGCCACTTGTAAGGTGATAATTCTCCAGCTACTATAAACACAATCTGAGAGTGCTAAAATTGACACAGAAAACGCCTGTTAGAAAATTTAGTTTTATTTCTGCTCTTTGAGCGGTTGCAAATTATTCAAGAAAAATTCATAATATTTATTAACCAAAACAAACAAACAAACAAACAAACAAAATCAACATGAACTGGTGAGGTGGTTCAGTGGGCAAAGGTGCCAGCTGCCAGATCTGACAACCTAGATTCCATCCTTAGGACCCACATGGTGGACAGAGAAAACTGATCATTCAAGTTGCCTTTTGACCTCTACACATGTGCCATGGCTCACCTGACACTCACTCCCATAATAAATCAATAATTAAGTAAATATAATTAAATAAATAGTATTTTTTTAAAAACCACACTCAGGACAAAGTAAGCCCGATTCCAGTTTAATCTAACATAGTCTATGTAATATGCATATAACAAACACAAATTACGCCAATTTTCAGATTCATAAGCAAAAGCAAAACCCATAAATTATACCACACTTTGGGCATTTCTATCTAAATTTTGTGATTAACAACTCTGTAACAGTAATTCAACTCTCCAGCTTTTCTCTATTCCATTTGAAATATGTAAAATTCTAAATAGCATTTTCAGTGAGCAAATAAAAACTTTCTCTCTAAATTTATCCAAAGACATTTTACTTTTCTTAGCAAGCTCAGGGCGTTTTTTTCTAAAACATTTCATAGGAACTCAACATTGCAAAACAGTTGTAGAGATGCAGAAGCAATTCCGACCCTTTGTATTTCGGTTTCTTGGTAGTGGCCTTACAGTACCTGAACACCACCTCTGACCAGCTGAGATCAGGGAAGTGCGCCTGCTCCCCAGCTTCCATCACCATCCTCTCGCTGAACCTCAATTCTGAGACACGTGTGTTTGCTCTCCTAAGCATGCACTAGCATACTCAAGAGTTCTCGTGTATATTAAAGAAACATAAATCTTGTCTGACTTCATCAGATCTTTAAATCAGAGCTACTGCTATTGAGTTGTACCTAGTTCTATCCACATAGAGAAAATAAAGATGTGACACATAACAGTGGCTAATTTATAGCCTTGGCTACACCAAAAGTGTTTACATAGCAACCAAAATTTAGTGGGAAACTTAGTGCAAGATTCCTGACCTAAAACCACGCCACAGCACATTAGTAAGTAAGAAGAATCTACAAAACTGTGAATCTGAATCAGGCTGCCAGTTTAACATATTACAAGTAAAGTCTTTTATTTTTATTTTTTACTGGCAATTGAACTCAGAGTTCGAGCACGCTAGGAAAAAACTATCAACTGAACTACAGTTTGTCTGACTTCCCTCCCCCTCCTTTTGAGACAGGGATGGGCTTGGTTGGCCTTGACTCCTGATCCTCTTAGTTTGTCCTGAGTGCCAGGATTACATGTATAAACCATCGTGCCCAGATTAAAATCTTTATTTTTGTACGATATATCTCCAAATCTAGTCAATGTAACAGAATAATCTGGACCAAAACTTCATAATCTAATACAAACCATGAAAATATACTAGTTAACCTTTAAAATTAAATTAGAAGACAGAAAAGACATCTTATAAGTTAATAGGCATGCTAGTTACAACTAGTAATAAATGGCATATATTACATCAGGCTTCTAAGGAAAAATCTTAAGATTTTTGACAAGCTAATTAATAGGGCTCTCCTCCTCTAACTACTTGGGATTGAACCCAGAGCCTTCTTAATGCTATGTAGACGGCCTACACTTAGTTACAGCCTAATACGGCATTTTTCCTTTTCTTTCTTTTTTTTTTTCCTTTTTTTTTTTTTTTTTTTGGTTTTTCGAGACAGGGTTTCTCTGTGTAGCCTGGGCTGTCCTGGAACTCACTCTGTAGACCAGGCTGGCCTCGAACTCAGAAATCTGCCTGCCTCTGCCTCCCAAGTGCTGGGATTAAAGGGGTGCACCACCACCGCCCGGCAAAAATGTATAGCCCAGGCTGGCCTTGAACTCGTGATCCTCCTGCCTCTGCCTCCTTCAGCAAATCCTACTGATATACGCCACCACTAACGGTGGCATTTTTTTTAAGACAAAATAACAACAGCATCCATTAGAACATCTGGATTTAACAAGTTTCTCAAAAAACTGTTCAATCCTAGCTCTGAGAAAAGTAATGACAATGTCAGTTAGCACAAGTTTAAAGTACTGAAGACTTGACATCAAAATCAAGGTGTTTACAGGCAACAGTGTAGCATGAACAGCAGCTCTGCAGAATGAGGAGAATGCTACTGAAATCATTTCTCTAACTGCACCTGCCAATTCTGCCTCTGCAGTTGTGAAGGCGCCTTCTGCCTTACAGTGTCTGCTTTACCGTACAATTCATTCTCTTTACAATTAGTCGGCTGTAAGAACTGACAAGCGGAAATGAAAACACAGCCATCATTAGGCATTAGTTTTATTACTGTTACCCATTAATTCTATAACCCATCTAACAGTTCCTCTCTTTAATTTCATAATGTTAGGCTGGTACGCTTGCAGAATTCTTGTATTCCAGTTCAGTACATTTTCATACGTCAAAATTTTTACTCAGCTAAATTTGGCTGGGTGAGGTAGGGCATGTCTGTAAACCAAATACTGGAGGCTAACTCAGGAAAATCCTGAGTTAAAGGTTAGCCTGTGTTACACATCGAGACTGCTTCCCCTCCCAAAAAAAATAAAATAAAAATCAAAGATTATACAAAAACAAGTTCTTTTGAAGATTCCCAGTCTGTCAGGAAAAATAGAAACATAAACAGTAATGCTACATGAAATCCTTCGTTTAAGGATCATCTTTACTAAAGAATCCTACCTTCTGACAGCCTCAGAAGAGCAAAAGAATTCCCTGTTCTTTGAGGGAATTATTATCCACTGAGCATTTGCTGGTCTGATATTAAGGTCCATTCACAGAAACGAAGGTAAAAGCTTGTTGCAATCAATAAATGATCACCTTGTGAGGACTAAGCAATAGAGGCTTGTTTAAAGTAGTAACAAAAAGTTGGTTTTGAAATGCCCAACAAGGTAGCCAAACCTATCTGATAAGCTGCAAGGAGTCTCAATGAGCCTCAGTCATGTCACCATTTCTTATTTATATGAACACAAAGTTGGGATCAACACTTTTCGCAGAGTTACAGCTTTGGTACTACATCTTCTAGAAAAAGCACCTGTGTGCTTACCCGTTCCTTTTGTCAGCTGCCAATCATAACTTCCCCTTACTGCCTTTCCGTTTCTAGATCACTATAGAAAAAAATTCCATTCATGAGGAAAACCTGCTAAATAGCAAGAGAATACTGATCCTGAAAAAGCTGTTAAAATTACCCCTCAAATTTTTTACGAGGTAACCCCAACCCCCCAATCCTCGAGTTACGATCTTGTAGTTCTGGACTATGGGTGGTTTCATTTCTTGTCGTAAATGCCCTCTTAACCCAAGAATTCCACGGACCATATTTCCACCCTGTGGCCAATACGTGGGTCAACCCAAGCTGTATTCAGTATTAACAATTCGCACTGAATTATCTGTAAAATCCAAATGTCCAAATTCCCCTAGCAGGTTTAATTTTTAAAATTTAAAGGTAATGCATTAAAGACTTAAACTTGCCTGACATCTGAACCTTAAGAACGAAGCACAAAGAAGAAACCACTCGCGTCAGAAGAAATCTGAGTGACATCTTTTTCACAAATCACTACCCTCTTCGAACATCACTTCCTCTCTCCAATCGCCTCCCCCCAGTCCCTGTACGAGACTCGGCGATGCCTACCGGCCCCTCTCAATCTAGCTTTTTAAAAGAATCACAAACAGGCAAGCCCCAAAGCCCTCATCCACTACCCAGAGATCTTTGACACCTTGAAAGACACCTGTAAAAAAGCCAAGGCCCTAAATTAGATCCCCTTTTTGTCCCTGGACTTTTCCTCTCTAACCTTTAGGCCAAGCGACTCCCCACCCGTCAGCACCTCCCTGGTTCCAGCCAACCCTAACTCCGGCACTGCCAAGGCAGCCATCCTTCCCACCGAGTCAGGTGGCTGTCAGTCCCCACCCCGCTGCCTTGCCCTCATGCGGGTTACAGGCGGCCCGGGGCCAGCTCTTCCTATCCCTCATCTCTATGGCCACAACCCAGGGCACCTCCTCCTCCGGGCCCGGATTCCGGAGACCCCTCTTGCACGCCCCTTCTTCACTAGCTGGGTAGCAAGGGCCCAGCCCCTGCGCCTCGTCCCTCGTTGCCCGCGGGTCAGCTCAACCCCCTGATTTCCTCCAGATTCCATTCCAGAGCGGCCTCCCCTGCCTTTCCCAACCGTCTCCCCGCGACCCTTAGCACCCCCGGCTCTCCACTCACCCTTGGATGCAGGCGCCCCCCAATTTCCCCTCTCATCAGCCTCGGCGCCCGCTCACCTCCGCGGTGGGAGCCGGGCTGCCGGGACCCAGCTCGGAGCCGGTGTCTAAGGCGCCGTCAGAGTCGGGGGTCCTCGGCGCATAGGTGGAGCGCAGCGTCTGGAGAGGCAGACGCGAAGGCCGGGGCAGGGAGCCGGAGCGCAGGCGGGAGCCGGCTCGGCTACGAGCGGGCATCGCTCCGGCCCCGTCGGAGCCGTGCCGCCAGCAGCGGCCAGCCGAACCGGAACTGCTTCGGGAGGCGGGGCGCTACGGAGAGGGGGCGTGTCCAAAACCGGAAGTGAGGGGAGAAAAAAAAAAGCAAGGGGAGGACGAGAGCGCATGCGTCATGCGCAAGCGTATGCCACCAAAGGGTTTTAATGAAGCTAGGAGAGGATTTGTGTGGATTGTTAACTGGGGTTGGAGCCTAAGAAGAGGCTTTTCTGAGTCCTTTGAAGGGACTAGACCCTTCTCAGTCAGTCCTCAAGTAGCATCATTTATTATTTTTTTCCCCTTTGGTGTTTTTCGAGACAGGGTTCCTCTGTGTGTAGCTTTAGCTCTCTCACTCTGTAGACCAGGCTTTCTCACTCTGTAGACCAGGCTGACCTCAAACTCACAGAGATTCTCCTGCTTCAGCCTCCCGAGTGCTGGGATTAAATGCGAGTGCCACCACTGCTCAGTCCCATTTATTGCCCTTTTATTTTCTGTCTGTGCTAGAGACTATACTCTAAATCGTTGTTTCAACTCTGCCAAGTAGATCTCACACATAGAAAGGCCAAGAAACATTGTAGCCTGACATAGCACCATTAATATGTATCCAACCCCAAACTGTTGTCAGAACCTGTGTTCTTTCCTGCTACTACTATACCCCACCCTAACGGAACACCCCCTTCTAAATGAAGCCTAACATTGGCAGATTCTATGTCTGAAGCCATCTGCAGTTTGAAATCTAGGCTCTCTTTGGCTCTACTTTCCTGAACAATGCAGGACCAGCTTCAATAGTTCCGAAGGAGATGGGGCAGGTTCTAAGATGGACAGGAGGAGAGCAGGGGTAGCCAGGAATCTGCCCAATGTGCTCATAACCTTCAGGGGCTCCATGAAGCTGCATGAGACACCACAAAACATCTCATCTCCTGCAGCCCTTGTAGGCAGAGGACTATCCCATCCCTGTGTTCCTGATGGGGATAGAGAGATTGCTCAGTTGTTAGAGCACTTGCTGCTCTTGCTGGAGACTCAGGTTTAATCCCCTGCCACCTCAATGCCTCAAGTTCAATGCCACGTGCCACCTCACAACCATCTAGAACTCTAATTCCAGGGGATCCAACTCCTGCCCCCTTCTGGACACAAGCAGACATGAGACGCGTGCACCCCACATACATATATGCAGGCACTCAAACATAAAATAAATTTAAAACTTAATTTATATGTATAAATGTTTGCCTGCATGTATTATCTGTGCTCTTAACCGCTGAGCCGTTTCTCCAGTATCAATAAAATATTTTTAATGATAAAAATAATGTCTTTTAATAAATGGAGCCTCGGGCAAAGATCACCCTTTGATATAAAGGGACCCATCAGCTTGCTCTTAAAAAAAAAAATCCGCTATCTTACGGGCACATGTCAGATGCTTTCCTCCATGTGTGCCTAAGTTTCTGTGACTCCACTACTCAGACAACGTCCAATGGACTCCACAATCCAAAGGCTCCAATGCGGCAGACATGGGCATCCCACCCCGTTTATGGCCCACTTAGACCTGTAAAGGTCTTTTTTAACATTTGTTCCTCAGTGCTTTTCTCTGCTTTAATTCTTGTCGTTGGAACCAAACAATCTATGTGGGCTCTAAGCCTATGAATGAATCTATTTTAAAGCACCTGTCCTATGTTAGACACAGTGAACCTTTTGTTTAACCCTCCCAACAATTCTCTAGGGCAGGTATACCCTTAACTTTACAGAAGGAACTGACAGGGGTGGAGAGAGATAGTGACTTGTAGGGGTCCAATTCCATGTTCTCGGAGACTTTAGGGGTGGGAGACTGCTCAAGGGAAATAGGTCTTGCTCTATTTGGAGGCCCCAGGGACTTGCTGAGTCACTTTGTCCCACCTGTCAATGCCAATCTCTGGCAAGGAGAAATAACACAGGAAAGCAGAGAGGAGTGACCTCACTGCAAAGGCAGAAGGATAGGTAGGCTGGCCCATGGCTGAGGCCTCCATCCCAAAACTTGGGGAAGAAAAGGAAGCCACACCTTGTCCCAATATCCCGCAGCTGGAAGAGCTCCTGAGGGCCGGGAGAGCTTCTTGCAGCAGAGTGGATGAAGTCTGGCCCAACCTTTTCATCGGAGATGCGTGAGTGGCTGCTGACACGGTTGTTAGGAGTCGGGCAAGAAGTAGGAATCCTTGAACTCTACCTGAGGAGGTGGCTAGAGGCAACAGGAGAACTAGTTACTTCTAACCCGCCCCAGGCCAGGAATTTTCTCAATGCCAGGAGCGATTCTGTGACCAGTTTCTAACACTAGGGGGAGCTCGAACATTTTTTTGTATTTTTTTTGGGGGGGGGGTGGGGGGGACGACGATCCCTGGGGTCTTCAGGCACATCTTAAGGCAACTAACGGGACACCCGAGCTAGCAACAACGTTTGGAATATAAAATGGCGTAGACATAGATCGTACTTTCTGTTCCCAGCTTGCCTCCTGTGAACATCGAGTGGGTGGAGAAACCTGACTTAGGATGAATCAGGAAAGGTGTCATTTCTAAATATTTGTAGATTAGTAGCAGGTATGACGTGGTGACTAAGTGACTCTAGATGTTTATGAGTAGTAGGACGTGTGACAAGAAGGGAGGGGCAGCTAGTTCTCAGGGCTGAAGCAATCTCTTCCTTCCTGCCTTTGCTAGGGGCAGGCTGCCCGAGACAACAAAAGGGGTCACAAAATACCCCTTGCAGCACCAACTTTACCAACAGAGATCTCTGGGGCTGGGGCGGAGCGCTGGAGGTTCAGCTCAGTGTCAAGAATTCTAGCTCCCTTTATACCCTATGGCTTCGCACTTCCCAAAGCAGGGGTCAAACAAGCCTCCTTCTCGACCCAGGGACTAAACCCAAATCCAGCTCCCTTTCTGCCCTTGCCAGGGCTACGGCAAACAACCGATTTGAGCTGTGGAAGTTGGGGATCACCCATGTGCTGAACGCCGCCCACGGGGGACTCTACTGTCAGGGGGGTCCTGACTTCTACGGCAGCAGTGTGAGCTACCTGGGGATCCCAGCCCACGACCTTCCTGATTTCAATATCAGCACCTACTTTTCCTCAGCAGCTGACTTCATCCACAGAGCCCTCACCACACCTGGAGGTAGGACTTGAGGCAGAGCCCCTAGTCTACTCTGCTCACTTGTGGGAAGAATATGCAATTTCCTCTCAATCCTCAGCATCCTGTTTTGTTTTGTTTTTAAAAAAAATCTTCCTCTCTATACTAAAGCATTTTATCTAATAGCATTGCTTTACAGATGGAGAAAGTGGGGCCAAATAGCAAGGCCATAATGAAATAGAAGCAGCCGCGAGACTGGAAACCTGGTCTCACAACCATCAGAATAATTCTTACTCTGTATCAGGCGCCCTGGAAAAGTACCACGTGGTACCCAGAGGTCTGTCCCAAAGTACTTCCAAGTGAAAGAAACAATATACCCAAGATGCAATAGGTCTGGAGAGGCTGGAGCCCATACTGTATGTTCATCTTGCTATGCCCCTTTGCTCTGTGATCCTGGACAAGCCAGTGTGTTCTCTGGGTTTCTGTTTCCTCATTTTTTTTTTTTTTTTTTTTTTTTTTTTGTGATGAGGAATTTGGTAAGGATCATGTGGCTTTGTAATAGCCAAAGCACTTTGACTTTTTTTTTTTCTTCATCCATTCACCCATCACCTGGTCATCATTCACCCCATGTCAAGGAAAGAACTAAAGTCTAGGAAGCCGGACTTAAGTAAGCCAGGGCATCAGCTATTGTAGAACTTGCTAATCAAACAGTGATGCATTCTGAATGTTACTGATATGAGAGAGCACACATGAGGAGCTCCACAAACACTCAATCCAGAGGACCGTGGTGTTGGGGATTTCCCTCCACAGCAGTTTCCTTGGGTCACATGCAGGAAGGGCTGATGGTTTTGTGACTCTAGTGACACCCTCAGCAGTGCAGAGAGCTGGTAGAGGAAGCCATGTCTGAGATGAGACTGGATGGATGAGTAAAGGCTAGTCAGACCAAGATCGAGGGGAAAGGTCAGAGGTCATGCCAATGCCAAGGAACTGCAAGTCAGCCCGTGTTCCTAGGGCTGGGGTTTGAGGTGGGTTCTGGCTGAGGCGAAGTGCAGGATGATGAGCAGGTAGGTCTCAAAGGCTTTTGTAAGTCATGTTGAGGATCTGGACTGAAGTTCAAGACTCTAACAAAACAGATGTGAGTCTACTCATCGGAAAGATCAGGACACTGAGGCCCGTGAGAGGCTGAGGGACTTGCACCAGGTCCCATAACACACCCAAGACAGGTTCAGAAATGGACTGTGGGTTTTGGCCCTGTCCTTTGGGTGGGCTGGCTGGTAGGAAGGAGTTCCTCACATACACGTCTTCTTCAGCTAAGGTGCTGGTGCACTGTGTGGTGGGTGTGAGCCGATCTGCCACACTGGTCCTGGCTTACCTCATGCTCCAGCAGCAGCTGTCCTTGCAGCAGGCCATAATCACTGTGAGGGAGCGCCGATGGATCTTCCCCAATCGTGGCTTCCTCCGCCAGCTCTGCCAGCTGGACCAGCAACTTCGGGGTGCAGGTCAGAGCTAAGGAGCCAGGTAAGGCAGGTCAAGGAGGCAAAGCTGAGAGTGGTTGGCAGCATTAAATCAGTTGAGGGTCTGGACAGGGGTGTGAAATGAAACTGATTAGCAGGACTGTGTGTGTCTCAAGTGAGAACTCACTCCCTTTCCCAAGTGGCTGGGTTCCCCTTGTCTGTCCAAGATTTCACCAGGACCCAGCAGGCAATCCTCCCACCTGAACTCATTAGATCTCCAGAGGACAGAGAAAGACGGAAGACAGCTCAGTGGATAAAGCACTTGCCACACAAGTATGAGGACCTGAGTTTGAATCTCCAGAGCTCACATAAGGTTGAACACTAGTAGTGGGATGGGAGAGAGACACAGAAGAATCCCTGGAAGCTAGTGGACCTAGCATATGAAATGGGAGACAAAAAAGCCAAGATAACCTATTTCAAACATGGTAGAAGGCAAACACACACACATACACACACACACTCAGAGGTGTGAAGGTATGAGGTCGGGTGGATAAAAGAGAAAGATGAGGAAGGTTAGTGTTAGGAAGTCTTATGTGATATATGTACATCATATATATACTATATATGATATATATCATGTATACCATATATTAGATAGATAGATGGTATGTATGATATGTTGACATATATTATGTATGATATATAATTACATAGTATATGTCTATTTTACATGTAATACTATATATAAATAATATATATGTGTATATATATGTCTGTATATATACATACATGTATATACATATACATGCACACACCTGCTTTTGGGTGCTACCCAACCTCTCCTGAGAGCCTATAGGACTTAACCAAATTCCCAGACAGCAGCAGAGCCAGGCTAGGCTGTCGTACACTTCCTATGAAATATGCTGGTGTTAGTGACCAAGGATGTGTTCCCCATGTAGATGGCATGTTCACAGCCTGCTCTTTCCCCTCCAGACAGGAATGAGACATGTGAGAGAGCAGCAGATTTTTTTTTTTTTTTTTTTTTTTTTTTTTTTTTTTTTTTTTTTTAGTTTTTCGAGACAGGGTTTCTCTGTATAGCCCGGGCTGTCCTGGAACTCACTCTGTAGACCAGGCTGGCCTCGAGCTCAGAAATCCGCCTGCCTCTGCCTCCCGAGTGCTGGGATTAAAGGCGTGCGCCACCACCGCCCGGCGAGCAGCAGATTTTTTACAGCCACCCTGTCACTCTGTTCCCTTAGCCTGGGATATCAGACACCCTGACTTCTGACCTCAGCGGCTTGCCCATCAGACAGCTGGTTTGGGGGAAGCTGGTTGAGCAGGGCTGCAACATTGCACAATTTGTTGAAATGACAACCACAGAATTGTCTGTGTCCTGAGAACCCTCAGAGATTTCCAGTACACAGGCTGTGCAACTGTACCCAGCAACCCCACAGCTGAGACCCTGAAGTGAGGGGGCTGTAAAGAGGGGCTATCTCTCTCCATAAGCCATGGATATCAAACCTATCCTCACTATTTCTCCTTGTACTTGTGCCACGCACCCTGGCACTGAGACCTCAGAGATGAAGCAGGGTTAGGTAACAGCTCTTGCTCCTGTCCTAAAGTCCCAGTCAGCCTAGGCCTTCACTTACCTGCCTGTAACATGAAGGTTCTCTCTTCTCCAGAGCCAGTCCTTACCCTCGGCCACCAGGCTCTGCCAGTTTGCTACTCTTGCCCTGGCCCTGATGGCAGCCTTAGCTCAAGTGGATGCTAAGAAGATGAAAGGGGCCCAGTGTGGCGCTCACCGTCGAACCCACCATCCCATCAGCTTCCTCCAGCGTTCCACTTGCCCTCTCAGCTGCTGTCTTCAGTCTCCACAGGTGGGAGTGTGCTGTCTGTCAACTAGTCTTTGAGGCTCTTGTGACAGGGTTCCCAAGTTCTCAAATAGGGCTAGGGAGAATGATTCTCAATGTTCTCCCCAGTTCTCCCTAAGGCTCAAGGATCTCAGCGGTGGCTGAGGTGGCCCCTGGGAGTTCAGTGGACATAAGGCTGAGAGTGTGTGTGGTGTGTGTGTGTGTGTGTGTGTGTCTGATAGGGCTGGAGAGTATTATGGCATGGGTGTATGGTTAGAGTACCTGGATTGAAAGAATAATTTTTAATCTCAAATCCAGAGGGCCCTCACTAGGCAGACCCTGGGGCATCTGTCTTTGAGGGAGAGACAGAGGGCAGTGGAGGGAGAGCTGCTCCTGGATATAGCCGCTGAGTGTGCAGACCTGCTCCATAGTCCCTTTCTGCCTTTGCTACCTCATCTGAACCTGCCAGATTGTAATCTTGAACTAGTCACCCTGAAGTAGAGGCTTCTAGGCCTGTGAGCTGACGTTCTACTGGTGTATGTGCTTTGAGATCTCTGTGTCCTCCAGCATCAATCCCTTCAGCCCTTTATCTCTGCCCTAGTTCTGGGTAACCTTTGAAAGCCAAGGGACTGGGGTGTGGGGGGTATTTGTTTTGGGCAATGCTGGATTAGAACTCAGGGTCTCAAACATACTAGATAAGTGCTCTACTGTTGAGTAACATCTCCCAGTCCTAAAGGGAGGTGGTTTTCTTCTTTGTTTTATGTGCGTGTTATATTGTGTTTTAGACAGGGTCTCACAGTAACTGTTTAAAACACCAGCCTGGCCTAGAACTCACTCTGTAGACCAGGCTGTCCTTGAACTCACAGAGCTCTGCCTGCCTCTGCCTCCTGAGTCTAGGGATTAAAGGTGTACACCACCATTCAGGATCCAAGGGGAAGTTTTAAGATGATTTGCTTGCTTTTCCTAATCCCCACCCAGCTACCCAAATACACTCATACCACACACCACAGGCAACCCTTTGAGCTAGACATGCTTTACGTTAAGACTGAGGCCTGGGTCTAAGGAGAAAGTACCTGGTTGAGCCTGGGGCTGACCAGGCCATGGGACCAACGGACAAGTTGGGAGTGACAAGGGGAGGCAGAAAAGGAGACGACGGCATGCTTTATAATTAAACTCAAATCAAAAAATAGAAACAGCATCAAGTGTGCAGAGACAGATGGCTGGAAGCCGGCAGCACAAACTGTGTGTCCGAGAAGACTACAGCCTGGGCAGGATCTCCCTACAGGTGGGTGAATGGCCCTAAGCAGTGGCCCCTGAGAATACTGGGTACTAGGGCCCGGGGCACCTATGCCTGTGTGTATGGACAACTGAGAGGATTAGGTTGGGGGAATCCAAATGGGTCAGAGGTAAAGGCAAAAAAACACTGCCTCTCACCACTGTGTGGCCTTGGGCAAACTACTTTTATCTCTCTGAACCCTGATTTTTCTCATCTGAAAAGTGGGGATGTTGGTACTGTCTGCTTCAGGAGAGCACTGGGTGGACTCAGTGTGAAGACGTGAGTCCTGGGCTCTGTCTGGTCTGTAATGTGCTTCCTTAAGCTGGAGATATAATCAAGAAACAGAGATCTAGGTGAAACCTCCACAGGCCATAGCAATCTGCCAGGTCTTGGCTGAGCCCTGAAAGGATGAGACTGATTGGAGCAATGTAAATAACGAAACACCTCATTTATGTGGCATCTCCCTGATGCAGGGCCTC